AGTGCCTCTATTGTTGTCAATTCATGTTGCAGGCCAGAGTTATGATATTGAAACATTAAGTTACTTTTTAACAGTGCCTCTATTGTTGTCAATTCATGTTGCAGGCCAGAGTTATGATATTGAAACATTAAGTTACTTTTTAACAGTGCCTCTATTGTTGTCAATTCATGTTGCAGGCCAGAGTTATGATATTGAAACATTAAGTTACTTTTTAACAGTGCCTATATTGTTGTCAATTCATGTTGCAGGCCAGAGTTATGATATTGAAACATTAAGTTACTTTGTAACAGTGCCTATATTGTTGTCAATTCATGTTGCAGGCCAGAGTTATGATATTGAAACATTAAGTTACTTTGTAACAGTGCCTCTACTGTTGTCATAGTGTCTGTCCTTGTCAGGTCTTGGAGAAAGTCAAACTTTTACCACTAACAACTAGGCAGTTACTTTGTAACAGTGCCTCTACTGTTGTCAAGTCATGTTGCAGGCCAGAGTTATGATATTGAAACATTAAGTTACTTTGTAGCAGTTCCTTCTTCTGTTAAAACACTATAACTTTGTGTTGTTACATTACCTTGTAGTGACAACTGACTGATGTCTGAGTAGTGACTTAAGTTTGAGTTTATATAAAAAACATGGTACTTTACAAAGTGTTTTTTTCTCTTCTTTTATAAGGTAGAACTTTAGACAAGATTAAAATATGTTTTTATACTCTTAACATGTCGTTTATTTACAAAGTTGTTTTGTGTGTGTAATGTATAAATAATAACTTACTAACATGTAAATATTGTAATTTTAATTTTAATTTGATTATTTGTTATTTTTTCAGCATCTTCAATTTTACTGTTCCTTTCTTGTCATGGTTAGCGATTATCCTGCTGGTGGGAGCAACAATGGTGTTGTATACAGTACCTTTCAGGTTCATCATTATGTTATGGGGTAAGTGTATCGCTTTCTCTCTGCTAGTTAGAATAATGAATAGTTAATGTTAAGGTGTTTAACAACTGAAAGAATACATATCAAATGTTCAAACGTATAGTAACAATGGGGAAAGAAAGAAATTAGACTCTAACTTCTAGGGAAGACATATCTCTAGGACACTTAAGACAAAAAAAATGTCAATATGTTTACTTTTTAGGAGAAATTCAAAATGAGTTATATTATACATCAGTTAGGGGAAACTAGAAAACACTACCTGTTCAATATTTGGTCAGAAGTAGTATTAACTGTACATCAGTTAAACTCTACCTGTTCAATATTCAGTTAGAAGTAATATTAATTGTACATCAGTTAAAACTCTACCTGTTCAATATTCAGTTAGAAGTAATATTAACTGTACATCAGTTAAAACTCTACCTGTTCAATATTTGGCTAGAAGTGATATTAACTGTACATCAGTTAAAACTCTACCTGTTCAATACTTGGTTAGAAGTAATATTAACTGTACATAAGTTAAAACTCTACCTGTTCAATACTTGGTTAGAAGTAATATTAACTGTAATATTCACACCAGGACTCCACATGTTCACTAAGAAGCTATGGAATTACCAAGCTCCCCTAAACTTTGAATTACTTGACTTTCTGTCTTGTGTGCCTGATGATCAAGAAAAGGTAAGTTTATAAGGAGTAACATTGCTAGATAATAAGCGTTTTATAAAAAACCCTATTCATTGTCTAATTCCTTTATCAGAAGTAAACAGTGTAATTACTAAATTTATAGCCCCCCAATGGCATAACAGTAAGTCTGAAGGCTACTAAAACTACAAATTGAGTTTTGATACTTGTGGTGGGCAAAGCATAAATAGCCCACTAAAAATAACAACAACTAAAGTTAGAAATTTTATTTCAATACTAAAGTCCTGTGGTCTGCTACAGGTCATTCATGTTACGGTGTCATGGTTAAAAGTTACGTTATTCAGGACTTTTATATGGGATTTTGTTCATCTGTTTCTTAAAATTAACATATGTGACTAAAGGTATCATTATATCTTGTACTTCTGATGTGATATTATCTCTTTCAGCACGTGCTCAGTCCCTTGGACTGAACTCTTAACCATTTTGTGCTTGTTATGGTTTTTGTGCTGTAAAGTCTGAATTAGTAAGCAAATGTTAACAAAATTTGGCAGATTATCAGTAAAAATTACAATGCTTTCATACGTAAAATATCAATTTTATTATTAAGTCTTAAGGTTTGTAAAGCAATTTTTTTCTCACATCTTTTTTTCTTTTCACATCCTGCCTATCATGCAAAGTAATATTCATTTTAAGATTAAAAATACTTCTATGCATCAGAAAATTTAGAAATTTCAGATGCAAAATCTTTATAATGTCGAGATAGTTATCAAATGTTTCATAAGAAAAAACTTTATATTTTATCTGTTATTTTCAGTAATTAATGTTCGGTAGATTTGACCAATCTTGCAACCATCATAAAAAATTATGAAATAAATATAAATTATGCCTCTTTCTTTATAGAATGAACACAAATTATAACATTAAAATATAAATGTTTAGACTAAATAGCTTAATTCTCATAACATTATACATTTATATATATATATTATATTGACCTTTCAGCCACGCCTGGCTAACAATATAAAAGTTACAATGCTGCGGCTCACGTGCACTCATGTTACCATATCAAATAACATAAAACTGACCTTTGGTCTGTACAAGGTAACTTGTCTTGCCTGTGTTTTAGTAGACTAATATTTTGTAAAATACAGTCACATTTCAATTGTTATACATTTTATATATGTATATAAATTATTGCTATTTTGAAATAAGTTCTTAAACTTATTTTTTCCTAAAACATAGAACAGTAAATAAGGAAGTAAAGCAAACAATTATCTTTACCTCGTTGAAATCTTGGTTGAAAAGAAAGATATGGCTCCAAGTCCATTAAAATGGCTGAGAAAACAACTAGGGGGACATTCTATGCTTCTGATTGGTTATTCATGTCATGTATAGAAATAAGTATATATAAGGGAGCGTTTCCAAAAATGGAAAGAGGTGGGTGGGGTACCATTGTGTTTGATTTATTACATGAGCAATATCTTAGCAAATTGAAAAGATAAGAGGCTCTTATTTTATATTCTAGCTTGTCAATATCTGTAATTTGAGTTTCTCATTCATTCGAAACTATAGACTTAGTATTTTGACTTCACAATATTTTGAATATTTG